AATTGCAATTATTTAAAAGTTTTAACACATCACAATATGAGAATGGGTCCACGTTACAAAACTGTTGTGACGAGTGGGCAGGAAGAATGTCCGATGACTGGTTCAGAATGCGGCACTGAGATCTAAAGATTTAAAGATCTCTAAAGGAAACTCACTGTTTTGAAGGTGCACAGCTGAATGTCGCCAATAGTTTATTGGCAGCGCCACTTACGTCCACAAAGCGCAGTATGTCATTCATCTACTTTCATAGCGTGAATGATTGAAAGGAAGCTTCGAGATAGTTCTCTTCTATAAAGACCATCGCAAATAACGGGCCTGGTGGTCAGCCCATCGCCACTACATTTTTCTGACGACAGGAGTACCACTGGATTTCAATTGCACGTTATTTTTACCAATGTACAGTGATTGTTTGATAGTAATTTAATTACAGGGAATGCAGCACGGTATTTGCGTGGCCGTTGCTCTGATCGGGACATCAGTAAACAGTGAAGTTACATCGAGAGACATTTGTAGCCCGTTTACATCCATATCCTGAAGAGTATCCACCAGGTCAAAAAATCCATATGCTTCCTTTGGGCACTCTTCACTGGTTCCAATTTGTTTACGGACCATTTACCTAGCTAATGGTGAGTTACAAATCTATAATATCAGCCTAAGTGGGACAGCTTTATGTATTTTAGGTAATCCTCCAAATCCTCATTCTAGTTGATCGAAACGTGGTCGCATTTGTAACACTAGTTTCAGGAATTGCAAACTCTGCGGAAAAATCTTTTAGTTTACTTTAATCGAGAGTGGCATTTATCTTGTCTCTGTAAATCTTTTTATTCAGGAAGATGATATTCGTGCCTTCATCCGGTTTAGAAAGAGTAAAATCCGGATTTTACCACAGCATTTTAGACGTCTTAAGTAGTCCTTCATCAATCATCTTCTGATAACATGCTTGTTCGATTAAATGTTTTAATATAGTCATTTCGGCTTTGCTCAGTCTCAATCTGAAGAAGGTATCCGGTCTGACAACTGAGCATGGAAATGCTCAAATTCGACTTCATCGTTTAACTGTTTTGTTGTTTATCTCAGACAAGGTAATGGTTCTGATGTGAGAAATCCCGTTTTAGGCTGATAAAATACACATCACACATTGATTGCGCAAACAATTTACTGAATTACGCTAGATTTTCTAAAACTCAACTGAACTGGCAACAATTTTCGTTTTTAACTGACCCAACATTTGCGGGCTTTTTAGACTTGCGCACAACACTTTGTGAAGCTTCAATAAGTTTCCCAATATCCCTTCTCCGCACAGGATAGTTATGTGGAATCGTTAAACGAAGCCCGATCGATTGAAACTCATTTGCGCCACGAGATAAAATGCCAACAAACTCGGTTGAAAGCGTTACTGAGTGAAAAGCACAAACTACTGGATGCTTTGGAAGAGACCGATCACCTGCGCCGGCTTACCGGACAGCAACTGGAACGGTTGAACCAAAAACTGATCGACAACGGTTTACAGAATCTACTCCAAAATCGAACTGTTGTGGCTGATCCGTCAAGTCCCACCGTTCTGTGTACACATACGGTAAGTTTTGACCAGATGTCAGATGATGTGTTGAACAGTACTTACTTTATACCACAAGTAATACTTTTGAGGTATTCAAGTTGGCTTGGTTTTGTTCACACTAGGTATTTGAACACCAAATGTTTCTGATAAATGTTTACCTTACGGGTTGGAAATAACAACAATCATGCTTACTAGAGGTGGTCTGGAACTGCGAGTGATGTTAGGCTCTGTTTCATGAGGTGCAAACATGTCAGTAATTCGCGAAATCATTGCACTTCCAAAGGTAAACACTTGGTTCTGATTGTGTTTTCACCTCACATCGTAGTGTAATGGACGATGGTGTAATGAACAGCAAATTCACGAGAACGTATTGCTTACTACCGGAAACCGAGACGGGGAATGCCGAGTCACCTATAAGCTTTCAATCGTAATGGAAAAACCTTGTTACAATCCATCACAGCACATCACGAATTTTGGTTATTGGGGATGGATGGTAATCCAAATTTCTTCGCTGTTGAATTGTTATTATTACTGTACTTTACAGGTCTCAAGATAGACTGCGTCATGATTTGCATGTGGGTGGGATACTGCCGGG